CTAGCCTTTACGGGTATTGGAGAGTTGCGATAATCAGTTCCCCTACTCAATATACTCATGCACAATCAGTCTGTAGATATCCAAGCGTTATTATTCATTTCATTTATTTGTAATTTGGACCAAGAAATACGACCGTTAGGTGTTCGACAATGTAATTAAACACATTACAATGAGAAGAGAATTTTATTGTATATTTACATAATTAGCTATTTATTTATCAAGTCTGTCATAAGATTCTTCATCCAGCAGGCGATAAAAATTTAATTCTTTTCTCAAATGGATAAAGTACCAATGACACACGAGTCGATTTTATCCCAGTCGCTCAATGGGCAAGTTATGATGTGACCTGTACCTATACGCAACAAACCGAAGGCGCTTGGGACGAGGTTCCATGGAGTTGTACTGTTTATTTGTTTGATATTTGTGTAATTTGTTTCACTAAAAGTAAAAGTGTAATGACTTGTTTATTAGACGGTTTTGAATGAAACTATACACATGAGATAATGTCTAGCGCATTTCTGCAAATTTATTTGTAAAAAGGCAGCTTTTAATCCTCCTTTGGTCCGCTGGCTGGCGGCAACTGCGGGCCAGTAGAACAACGCTTGTAGGAAGACGAGGAGTGTACATGTACATACTGGGGTCATGTAATTAACAACTTTAGGGACGGGGCTACAAGATGTGGGGCCGGCACCGTCTGGACGCCATCCCCGAGTGTGGTGTACTAACCTGGAGATTTTTCATTTTTTTCCTATCTTCTTCTACAGTCTTAGTCTGATTGTTTTCAAATTGGTGTCGTCGGAAAGATCTTGTAAACACGCACAACCACTGCGTGACGGAATTTTGTTTTTTTTTCTAGGGAAGGTAGATTCCATTGTACCATTCTTGAAAGCATTACCTGGGGAAAACTACTGGTTTCAATTTGATGGAGCGCTGGCTCATTCTACCTATGATGCTTATATATCTTTGCACAGTTTTGAAAAGAGATGGATTAGATTAGGTCTACAAATCCGCAGCATTAGTCTTCTAGATCTCCAGATGTAAAGCCACTGGACTTTTATGTGTAGGGTAATAAAAACATTTATTTTTTAATTTATTTTTTGAGAGGCGACTACCAATAGAGTTCATCAGAGGATGTCATTATGTATTGAAAAAAACGATGGCCACGCAGAACAAAACCTCAATTAA